TTCAATTACAAATGACAAAACAAACTGCACTCCACTGGTATGCCAACAGTTAAAAGCCTAAAGTCAAACTGCACGTCGGTCTTTAAGTTCTTCAACTTGCCTCCACAAGAATAAATTCTACACGAGGAAGTAAAGTTTTATGGGGTAAAGTGAGCCGCTGCAGGGAACCACATGTTGACAGACGCCTCAACTGTGGTCGCATCATGATAGCACGCAATCTGCACGTTTGATGTGTGACAGCTTCATGCTCTTTTTATTTATTTTTATTAGCACCATTTGTACTAACTTCTCTAATGTGAGACACTCAGAAATCTGCTGCAGTTTGGTGCTTAAAAAAAACAAAAAAAACAGTAAACCTTGATGATATAATCACACAAACACAAAAGGATGATCACAAGTCTGTCAGGACTAAACAAGCTCAGTTCATCCAGTAAAAAGTTTCAGTCCATGTGAAGCACATGTCGTCACACAGATAAATGCTCAACTTGACAAATCGGAGTCAAGTCAGGACAAATGCAGCCGTCGCTCTGAAGAATCTGAATTCATTTTTTCCTGTTTCCATTAAATTTTTACCTCTTCAAGCCTAAAAGAAGTTGTTTAAATGAATCTATTTAAATCATTTAGTGGAAGAAATGTTTTTAGGAGGCATTAACAAGGAGACACGATGAGACAACAGCTAGGAAACCTTTTGTTGTTGTTGTAGGATCATAAATCAAAAAAGTCTAGAAACATGTTTTTAATCTTAAACTGTGTCATATTTTATAAAATAATATGATTCATAAATGTCTGTTTTTTGTCTAATGAGCGCTCAAAGGTGGAACCTTTCATGACACTGCTTTTTCTTCAGATTTTAACTCGGCCACAATCAGACGATTTGATCGACTTGTCCAATGTTGTCTCAAATCCGTGATGTAATGATAAAACAACCAAAATGTCAGGCGTTTATCTTTAACCAGATAGAAGGAGAAACGTCAGTAATGACGGAGTCCAACTGGCAGGAAGAGCCTGAGTGAGACTTTGGCATAAAAACCCGTGTGCACATTACAGATCCAGCTATTTTTCTCTGCAGAGACGACTAACTCAGATCTTTTCTTTTTGTAATAAACAAAAGGCTTCTTCTCTGAGCTATTTCGAGTTTGGCATTTATCCACCACAAGAGATGCTGTCGTTCAAACAAAACCTCAAATTTCAGTGTGCAAAGAAATGACCTCAGAAAGTATTTGATACATCGAGCTAAAATATTTTAAGCTATAAACATTTCAAGCAAATCAGAGATGGTTGTGCAGAAATTGATCCAAAAATGTGATGACTTCAGATGGAACGATCTGCTTTTCTTCTTCCCACAGTGAAGATGACATGATGGGAAACAACACCTCAATACGAGCTACAAGCCGGTGAACCTGTGAGGCTGATGTCTGGTTTGAAGGCCCGTTTGTCCTCCTGGGTTCCTCCGCTCCGCTCTGCTGCAGACCAAAGCGACCACCTTGGCTCAGGTGGAGGTGTCGCCGGGCCGCCTGTAGGGGCTGCACCTCCGCCGTCTCAGGTGGCCTGGAAACCCCCGTCTGCCCCCTGCAACACGCACTGAGGGCTTTTATTTTTGGAGCGGCCGCGGGCACTGTGGCTCGCTCCCTGAGGCTCCAGTTCACTCCAGGATGAGACGGCCCTGTGGCACTCTGAGCCGGGATTAACAAGCAGGGAGCAGTTTGTCCCGACAGCCGCTCGCCGAAGGTAAACCAGTCAAACTCGCTGTCTGTTGATTGACAAGCCGGCGGTTGTGCGGCGAGTTCCCGACCCGTCCGTCAGGCGCTAACCTGCAAACGGTGCATAGGATTTGATAGTAGCACGTGCACGATCTGAAATGTTAAACGCATGATGAGGCGTATCAGACATTATATCCACGAGAGGGAGAGCTTGTAATGCAGTGTTTAACCTGTTGTGTGTTTCTGCACCAATAGTAAGCATGAGTCAGCAGTTAACCAAACCTGCAGAAGATTAGACTTCTGCTCCTGTAGCGGCCACTTAACTGCTCATACAGGATACATGAATAGTATTCCTCCATTTTTTTTTTTTTTTTACACGAAGCTGTTGTTTATTTTGCAGTCAATCCAACAAAACACAAGCAGCCCCCGTGTCCACTTCAGGTAAGACGTCCACATTCATTGTGCTCACCCTCCTGTTTGCTTAATTGAGTTCTTTGAAGCTCGATAGATTGAGGTCACGCTACAGTTTTTCCGCAAAGCTAATCTTATACTTTCCTCTTTTGAAAACTGGGCAGTGGAAGCCTCCCAGATACCCAACCCCAGAGCCTTAAAAGGGGGCTTCTCATGTGTCAGCTGGCCTCCTTGTCACTGCGCCCGCCGGAGTCACTGTGACAACAGGGATTCACGTAAACATTTGCTCAGAACCAGGCACGCATATGTGGCGGCGACGACATCTCACAGGAGGTCGAGTCAGAGATCCGGCTCGGCTTTAAGTCACCAAACCGGTGCTAGCGCGACATAAATAAAATTTTAGGGGAAATCGTTGCTCTGAATTACGAGGCTCAGCGCTCGGTGGGAGCAGCTCTGGGAGGATTTGGGCCTGGGATTGAGTTCCAGCGGACAGAGTGCAGGACGGCAGGCAGCAGGTGCTCGCTGTCAGGATGTTTGCTCTTATTTCCCTCCAGCTAAAATTAGACCGCAGACCTTTTCTAGCACCTCCAATATTCAGACAGAAAGGGAACAATTCAGCTCAGGTTGCCACACGAGCTGAGACAAGTAGAAGTACAGTAAACAAACCCAACAAAGTGAGATATTCCCCTGGTTCCCATTTAAACACGTCTGCTATAATCCTGCATTCACAGGAATGTATGTCACATTTATTGTCTGTTAATTACACCTCAGACCTTTGACCTCCTTCTTATTGTGAGCTTGTAATGTCAGCGGCAGATGAATTTGGACTCAATTTACTGCCTGTCACGTTTAAAGCTTCTTTGCTCATAAACATTAGCTTACTGCTAAGACCCCTCCTTCCTGCGCGAACCTGGTCACCCTCCTGTATGCGTCAATCATCTCGCTTTGGCTTTACTTTTATTTCCCGCAGAGGTCATTTTTAAATCCGACAGTCTCCTTGAGAGACTATTTTCATAAGTAGTTTGTCATCATTTCAAAGTAGCCTCGCCATAAGCAGCGGCTTTACATGCCTTTCTATTTCCACAGGCGATGCTCCTTGTAACCATGCAGCATCTTCAGGACCCAATTAAGAGTTCTGAAACCTGCTAATGAGCCTCTTGTCATAGGAGCTCATAGTTTTCTAAAGCCAGCTGCAGGCTTGTCTCAGAGCCATTAGCGCGGGTTAAATCAGTGCAGCTGGCCGGCAGCTGAATACACTAAAGTGGGAACAGAGCAGAAGACGATGAGAGCAGCGAAGCAGTAAATCAGCAGGAAAAAAAACGGAAACCCTCAGATGAAGCCGTGAGGAATCGGTTATCAGTTACATGGAATTTATTTCATCGTAATCAAAGATACATTAGGACATACACTGAGACGTCATTCACAGGATAAAAAGAATACATGATCAGAATAAACCGAAAAACATTCACCTTAAGATACTGAGAGCTCCACTACAAAGAAACCGGACGGGTGAACTGAACTGAACTGAAACAGCCTCTTCAGTTCACCTCGGTCCTGATGTTGCTGTTTACTGAAGCTTTGAGTATTTACAAGACCTGGATGACTGAGAACCTACAGACACTTTTTGGTTTCCTACCTTTTGCAGAATTATAACAAAGAATCACAGAGAACAGGATTTACAGGAGAACCCTGGTTTATTCTAACCTGCTGTATTGATTGTGCTACTTTGGGGCTGCAACTAATGACTGTTTTCATTGCCTGTTGATCTGTTTAGTATTTTCTCGATTAATCGATTAGTTGTTGGTCTATAAAATGTGAGAAAATGGTGAAAAATGTTGATCAGTGTTTCCCACAAGATGACAAATGTGTTGTTTTGTCCACAACCGAAATATATTCAGTTTACTGTCATGAAGGAGGGAAGAAACCAAAACATTCACATTTAAGAAGCTGGTGTCAAAGAATTTAGACTAAATTACTAAAACAAAATAATCGATCATCGAAATAGTTAGGCGATTAATAGTTGACAACTAATCGACTAATCGTTGCAGCTCTTGTTGTGATTCCAGTTATCAAACTAACATAGTTCTCCTCGTCTGCACTGAGATTTGTATAATTATCATGAGCCTGATCAGTCTGATTGAACATAAACAGATATTAGCCGCCTGGAACAGACGCTTTGCTAACGGCATCAGCTTTAACTGAATATATGGAGAGCAGAGCGTTCGGTCCGGCTGCTCTTGGTCTTTTCTTCCAGTTTAACAGCATCTATCGGATGTTTATCAAAGCTGCAGATTTATTAGTTGTATTTGCACATCTGGAATTACTCTCATTCATGGGTGCTTTGCAGCAAAGGTTCTGGCTGTATGTTGTCTTTCTGACTCCATCCTCAGAGTGAAAGACTCACATGTAAACAAACCAGATGAATGTTCTGGTGATCATGTCAGACAGCAAGTATCCCCAGATACAGATCTCTAATGCAGTTAGCAAGACGTCCGTTCCAGGCGGCGAATTTCTGTTTAACTCCAGTCAGACTGAAAACAAACATTTAAATGATCTTTGTAAATATGATCGTTCCTGTTAAACCGCTTCACAACATGTTTGGTGCAGCTTCTCGTTTCCTCGACTTTCTACAATGAGATGAAGAGTTTTAAGTTGCATTAATGGGAAACACAGCAGGTCGAAATAAACCATAATTCTCTTTTAAGTACTTTTCCAACCGAAACACAGAAGAGTGGTGAAGTCAGAGTGGCTGATTTTTTACCCCATTATCCAAACATGGATTCACAAATCTTCATAGAACTGTCCAGCTGTAAAAGAAGAAAAAAAACATGATCAGCATGGATGATCTGAAGCCAGACAACGAGCCTAGTTAAATATCTATTACATCTAATTAATAAAAACAAACTCAGTGATTATTTCGGTGGCTCTCCAGAGTTCCGGCTCTGAGAACGTACTGACCTCCGCGTTGCTATGGAACAACCGTCCTCAGTGTTTCCAGCCACTCGGTGAACTCTGATGTCCTGATACTCTGGTTCATACTGTGTTTATTCTGGAGCCAGTTTTAGTCTTTTGATGAAAATCTGTTTTAGTTGGTGACATTTGAGTCTCATGTTTGGACTTTTAATTTTTACGTCATCTCGGCACTTTGAAACCACAGATGTTGCGTCTTTGTGTATGGTTACCATGGTTACAGGTGTTTTTCTCCTCCGTCGTAAAGTAATTGGAAAAAGCTTCATGTCTGGCTGCTCTGCAGTGACGCAACAGACGGACTCTCCTCAGTAAATCCAGCTCAACTCATCACTTCCAAACTGCTCAGTTGAAAGATGTCCGACCGAAGCAAACATCACCTGTTTTAGATTAGCGTTAGCTCACCTGTTTGGAGACGTCAGGTGCTGCTGTGCAGAGTTCGTCTCAGCTGCTTTGTTGTTGCTTCTTCATTCGTGTGCATCTTTTTTTTTCTTTTAAAAAGCTGAATGTCTGGAGCTCATCTACATTCATTAATTGTACTGAGCAGATATAATTCTGGAGGCGATGGAAGACAATGTTGATCACTTTGCATGACAACAGTGATACGTTAACTTGTCCATTCTGAACATTACTGTTTTGGTTTTTACTTGTTGTCAAAACATGCAAAACATTCAGTCAAAGTCTTTGACCTACGATGTCATTTTTCATTAGTTTTAGGTTCGGTGTCATTGTGAGAAAATATGTCGTCGACAAACATGTTTTGTCATCGTTTTCAAAGCTTTAACAGTTTTCTCATCAGTGTCTTTAGATGGTGTCTTGTAACGAATTGGTGACACAAAATTTGTTGGATCTTCCCTCAGATTTTATCTTTTAGTGAAGCTTTTACTCCAGTTGCTATTATTGACTAAAATAACAGCTGAAACATTTCTTTTTTCAGGTGCATATGATTATACTTTATCATGAGAGGCCTTTGTTTCAGTGTTTAATTTCATCAGTAAGAACTATGATGAAAAATACTCATTGACAAGTTTTTTTTCCACAACAAAAAGAAAGCAAAATAAAAAGCAATACTTTGAAATGGGAACTATGACACGTTTGACTCTTTTCATGGACGAACATCAAAACTGTTCTACTAACGATAATCCTCAAGATGGCCGACTTGACAAATTAACTGCTTAAATGCAAAAATATTTTTCAGTGAGTTGCAGCATCTGTAGAATCACACACTAATACTCCATTTCCATTTTTTTCCCCCCAGTGGGTTTATCAGTTTGATCTGTTGTCCTACAGTTGATTATAAGCTTCTTATATTCAGTCACGTTAAAAGGCGGCTCTTGAAAGGAAGCAGACTTGTGAACTAAAATCATCCATAAATTACAATGAGAAACTGTAGAGACAAACTACAAACATGCAGACGATGTTTTAGCAGAATATCTTTCATGTCAGTAGCGACTACAAACATAATTCTGGATAACTGTATTAATGTTATACAACAACACGGGAGGGAATCGTTACTGAAGCTGCTCTTTGATGCAGAGTGTGTAGCGGCAGCAATGCTAACAGTAGAAGACTTTGGAAATGATACCATGAACTGGATTTACTGAGTCCATCTGCAGAGCCGAAGGACATGGAGACCAAACTTTATCCACTAAGCTCACCACAGACGAGAATAACACCTGTAACCATGATAGCCTCTGACAAAGACATGGACAGTTGTAGAGTTAGTGCTCAACTGATCAATGAAAGCTTTAAAATGCAAACATGAGACTAAATCAAATTAAAACAATAAAAAAATATATAAAATTGGATTTAAGTAAAACACGTGTTCAGCAAAAGACTTAAACTGGTGCCAAAATGATCACTATGAGAAACTAGATTACAGATTTCAGAGCAGGAATTTGGTCTCAAGAGCTCACAGGATATAAAAGTTAAAGATACAAAAATGAGATTAAAATGTCAGAGATGGAAACTAGACAAGAATGTTTCCGTGAGTTTTAGAAATGTAACTGAACCTAAATAAGGTGCTGTAAGTAAGACCGCTAATAATGTGACAGATTCATGTCTCCTATACATTTCAGTGGCAGATAAACAGACTGATGAATGTTATCTTTCTTGCAGGAGTGTGAAATGCTGATGGAAGTCAGCTACAGTAACGGGCTGGAGCCTGACCTTTCCCAGCAGTATCCTCCACCCTTACTGCCAAAACCGGGCAAGGACAACGCAAGGCTTCAGAAACTCAAGAAGAAGAGAGCCAAGAAGAAAGGCAGCCTCTCTCAGACGCCCATCCCCTTTCGCTCCTGCTTGTCGCCTGTCAACGAAGCGAGCACAGACCTCGAGCACAGTGACCAGTCCAGCCCACCGAGGACGCCAGAGTCGGTGTACATCGCCGAGCCTTCGGTGTCCAATTTCCCCTTTGGCTCCCTGTATGATCACTCTGCATCTGCATTCCCTCATCCTCAGAGCAGCCCTTATGTTCAGACTGTCAGCTTCCCCCCTCCGGCCTTCGCAGCCCAGACCAGAGGTTCAGAGCACCAGGTGGCTCCGCTGTACGAGTGTTCCTCTTTCTTGTTCGACGAGGCGACTCCTTTCATGTTGCCACCTGAGCAGGTTGCAGCGCCGCCTCTGGCTTCTCCTTTCACCTTAAACATGACACCAAATTCCCGTGGGTCAGTCACAACAGTCGCTGTGTCGCAGTCCAGCCCGAAAATATCGACTCACAGCTTGACCCTATCCCCAGCCGCCCCCAACTGTGGCCCAGCACCTTCTCAAGTGTCAGACCTACCTCCAGTTCCAGCGCTGCTATCAGTTTCAAACAGTCAACCTTTATTTCCCAGCCAGAGGGAGACAAACGCTGCCTCAAAGGACGGCCCTCCGAGCCAGACATCAACTTTGACTGCCAGACAAACCAGTAATGGCAACTTTGCTCTAAGCCAGATGCCCCCTGAAATAACGGCCTCAAAAATATCACTTGTTGAAGCAGTAAAGGAGGTGAGTCCTGACGCCACACCGGCTAGGATTTATACGTCAAAGGCAACGTTTTATGAGATCTCCAAACCTCCCTCTATGCAGGACCTGTCAGGAATAAACCCAGCCTACCAGGGAGCATCATTATCTGCAGCACAGAGGGAGAAACCAGCTGTTTCAGTGCTGAAAACTGATCACTTTTCATCCTGGACCCAGTGTGGGAGACCTAAGACTCCCTCTTGCACACCAGCTCGAGTATCGACACCCATTTTTGAAATCTCAAAACCAAACCCACTTTTATTTGCTGCAAGTCCTGCTTTCAACTTATCTCAAGATTTGCAACCTCCTGCTGCTGTCAAGGAGGCTCCGAGACACAAATCAGCAATTCAAACCGCCGCCAGAGAAGAATGGAGTCAAACCAATGTTAATAACATAACGGCCATCAAACAAGCCAGTAATTACAAAGAGATACAGATTCAAAATACACAGAGGAGCACAATAAATCTGAGCGTCGGCAACACTGAGCTGTACCAGAGAGAAGCCACGACTGCTCAAGACTTTACTGTGGTCAAACCAACACTAACAGAACCCATCACCCCGAATATAAAAACAGATCAAGAAAACAAAGCTTCATCGTTGCCACAGGTTCCATCATTTCTTTCTGTACCAAAGAATCTGAACCCAACGCCAGCACCTTCGAGTCCAAGCCCAGCGTTGTCTACGTTTCGTCCTCCTGTAAACGTGGCACGCAAGTCTTTGACGTCACTGTTGGAGACTCAGATGTCATTGGCAAACTCAAAGCCCAAATCACGGTCTACTTATTACGGGCTCACTCCAGCTGAGTACGCTGCCTACGGTGGAATTAGGAGTGCTGCTTCAAATCAAAGCCCTGTACCCCAAAGGATTAACAAAGCCTCTGCAGACCAAACCAACCAAGACGAGCCTGTAGATGAATCAAAGCCTGAAAAACAGCTCAACGGACATGAAGATCTTCCCTCTTCATCTCCAGAGCTTCCGGCTGAGCAGATCATCACACAAAACACAGACGTCTGTCAGGAGAGTGGGTCTGAAGCTAACGGTATTGGAATACAATCACTTAAAACTACTAACGTGGACACAATAAAACCTGAGCTTCCCCTCAGCTCAGCTCAGAAAACAATGCAACAATCCACAAGTGACGTATCCCCACCAAAAGCCTCTTACTCTGAGGCTCCAATACCAATACCTAAAGCAGGTGAGGTACACACACAAAGTGCGGCACAGTTTTCTATAGAGGCAGCACTAAAAATGAACCCATCTCTGACTGATAGCAGTGGCCTGTCCAGCTCCTCCTCACCCTTAGTGAAAGCAGATTCAAATACAGAAACGCAGCATAAAACCAAAGAAGGTTACAATTTTGATAAAACACCTTCAGTGTCACAGCCTATCAACAACTTCACAGGAGAATCCAAAATTATAAATGCACATGAATACAGAGCTCCAGTTCAAATTGCTAGTGGGGTCAATCCATCAATAGGTCAAGGTCCCAACGCTCAGCTCACTGCCAAGCCCTTTAAAACCTTAGCTGACAGTCAAAACCTGATCACTCAACCGCCTGCCAAACAGTTGGAGGCCAAATTTTTAGAGAGCACCACAATAAATGGTGCGTTCATCTTAGGAACCCAACAATCCACCAAACTGGTGTCAGAAACCCCAATAAAGTCCAGTCAAGTTTCACATAAACAAAAGGAAGAGGTCAACCAGCAAATCAAAGCGAGCTGTGAGGCTATTCTGCCCAGTAACACAAACATGGGGAATATTTTGCCTTCTATTGCTGCTCATACAGAACATATCCTTGACAAAACAAAAACTGAGCCCCAGTTCTCTAGTAAACCTTCCAAAGAACCAATTATTGCCAGTAGAGAAGCCTTGTTGCCCCATGAGCCAGTCACAGCATCTGTATGTTCTGCACAGTACAGTATCTGCACTGTATCTTCAGCTGAAAAAAAGTTTAGACAACCAGTAAGTGCTGAAACTAAAGCCCACAGACCTGTTCTAACTTTAGAAAAGATCAATTTGCCTCCATCAAGTGTACCATATATACCTGCTGTAAATAGCCCCTTACTAGATAAACCAAAAACAGAAGCTAAACTCCCTGTCCAACATGCTCCTGCAACCAAATCACCAAACTATTCAGACATTAAGCTCCCTTCAGAGACAAACTCATCAAACATGTCAACAAAAGAACCCCAAAAGCCGATAAACAGAAGTGAGAATCTACTTGTGAACACACAGAGTAGTGCAGGATCTGTTGGCCAAGGAGCAGGTTTGTACACAGACTCATTCAGAGCGCCACGAGCAGCTGAAGCCACTTTAAAAACTAAAGATGCAGTAAAGCCCAGCCAAGCAAATATAGAAGCCAAACTCCCCAATTTTATGAATACTGACACTAACAGAAGCAGCAGTTCAGCAGTAGACAAAGGAGTTTATCCACAGCTCATCACTGAAAGAGTCGGTTTACTGCCGTTAGAACATCCTCCTGCTGCACTTGTCAGAGAAGAAAACATCCAAACTCAATCGATTGTTGAAACAATCCCAGCTGCTTCTAGTCTTTTAAAAGGAAACACGGCAAGCAGCGAAACCAAACTGTCCAACAAACCAAACCAGCTGAGGTCTGTACCCGGCACCGTTCCACCTGGACAACCTGCAAATGTAGAAACTATTCAACATGAGACTGCACTGTCAAACAAATCCAGTTTGGGGGGCAAAATTTATAATGTTCCTGCAGCTGAAAGCGAATTCCCCAACAAGCTTCAAATGGAAGCTGTTCTGCCAAAGCTGGTGGAGCCGGCAGTGAGCAGTAAACCACCATTTAATGCCGTGCAGGCCAGTAAACCTGCAGTGCCTTCCAGCCCTACCATAAGGCATGTCGCACCAAAAAGCCCAAAGCCAGCCACAAGTGCAAAATCAGTTTCAGGCTCTGCTGAAGGTAAACTTTTTGCTGAGAACAGACCTTCTGAGACACCTGGACATCAAATCACCACTAAAACCACCTCAAAAGAACAATTTTCTTTCATTCAGCCAATTATAGACAATAAACCTTTACCAAGTCCACGAATAAAAAACAAAAACTCAGCAGCATCTAAGACGGAAACAACTTCCATCACTAATACATTTGGTATCAGTGTAGAACAGCAAACCACACACACTGCAAGTCAAATCACAGAAACCAATGCTCAGATGTTAGTGAAACAGTTTACTGAAACAAAAAGGTCTACTGGAACCAACATCCACACTGTAAACACTCAGACCCTCTCACATGTTGCTTTAAATAACCATCCTGCTACAAACACTCAGCCTGTTAGCGAAGCAACCAGAGATTTTAAAGTCCCCCACAGTCCTCCAACTACACCTAAACCTTGGACTGCAACAAGAGCTTCACCTCTACTCGAGCCAAGAGTGTGTCATACACCTAAACAAAGCTTCACCCCTACCTTACCCCAGTCCGCTCACACTCCTGTCCCTTTAAACCATTTGACAGAAATGAAACCTGCATCTGTTGTAATAAAAGATCAGATAAACTCTCCTGTTACAACCGTTCAAAATGATACACCTACTGTTCAGCCATCTGTGAAGCCAATCACTGAGAACGTCGCAATAGCAGAAATAAAACCACCACCAACAACTCCTGAGGTAAAACATTCCCAAATGCAACTACTAAAGAATATTCTAGGATTAAATTCCAGTAAAGAAGGAAAACTCTCCTCATTGAACGCCAAAGCTAGTGCCCCCACCAATCCTGATTTAACCAGTAAACCTAATCTAAAATCTAAACCTCCTGTTAAGCAAACAGAACCAACACCTCCCTCTGCCAAGGTAGAAACAAAACCATCAGCTCTATCCACCGAATCCTCAAAGTCTCTCCCCGATCCGGCTCAGGTTAACTCTCACACCAGTAGTGTTGAGCCTCCGACAGAGCAACCAGTAGGGAGCATTTCCCCCGCAAAGCCCGCAACAGATACTGTCATGAAAGCGTCCATAGTTAAAGCCGCTGTGATTGACTCTGCCACTCCTGCCTCTCTGCCTCAGGCCTCAGTCTCAGTCAAAGCTCCGTCCCCAAACGGAGGAACATCACCGCCATCTCAGCCAAACACTGGACTCAAAGGCAAGGACCTTCTGAAGACCAAAGCTGCGCCGACGGACGCCCAACCCTCCACGAAGTCAGCGACATCAACTGCATCTTCAACTGCTGATAAGGCCGTCAAAGCGGAGACTACTTCGTCACCCGCTGAACCGAAGGCAGTCCAGAAGCCTAAAGGTCTGAAGGCTAAGCTCAGCGGGTGGAGTCGGCTGAAGAAACACATGGTTGTCGAGCCGGACGAACCGCAGTTTCCAGAAGCGGAAGCCAAACCTCAGGTCGAAACAGGAGTCGATAGCGACAAGAAAATGGATCCAGTCAAGCCGTCAGTCGACCAACCCGCCAATCAGGAGGTGGTCAAGAACCAACAAGGTCCCAAAGCGTTGAAGATGTGGGACGCACTCCTGTTTCAGATGTTCTCCACCAAAGAGCGAATCATGGACCAGATCCACAGCAACAAGAAAGACCCAGACACAAAAAAGTCCTCCAAAGAAAATCCAGCCGAAGTTCCTTCTTTTGTCAACCGCCTGCCGATTTTACTGTACAGCCCCCGATTTGACGCCAGAAAGCTGAAAGAAGCGGCAGAGAAGCCGCTCACGAGTATAGCTGCCGTTTTTGAACGGGGGCTGATAAAACGTAAATCTCAGGAGGACGAACGGAAGGACTTTAACAGAAAAGCCAGAGGATTCGGCTCAGCAAAAACTACTGACGAGGCCGATGAATGAAAAGTGAATTCATCTGATCTCAAGTAGGAAGGCCACAGAGAAACGTGAAGGAATTCTAGCAAGAATTGTGAGGAAAGAAATCATAGAAGTTTTGTGGATATATGTGAGATAATAAGAAAATCAGGGCTGCAGTGAGGAGGCGGATGACTCTTGAGGGGAAAAGCATGAACCTGACTTGACTCAATGCTGGAGCTAGAACATTGCCATGGTGTTGAAATTTAAGTTTTGCTGAGATAAAATTCATTAGTTAGTGGTTAAGGTACCTGTTAAAGCTCTTAAAGGTCAAATAGCAGTAGCACATCTTTAATACAAAGGTGCCATATTTGCACTTCTAAAATTGAATTAGACAAAAGAAGGAACATTAGATATTCTGCAGCTCTACTTGGTTAGATTAGTTTTTTTCATTTGACGAAGGCCTAGACGTAGTGCTGAGTGCACGTAGCTCCTGTAGATTCTTTTCATAGATTGTTTAATTTGTCGTCATGCTCTACCTTTTTCTATTTTTCTAAACAAAGTAAGGCTTTTAGTGTACACCGCTGGTAGGCTGGTAGCGTTTGATCTCTGTAATAAATAGGGCTTTTACATTCCTGGAACAACAGGGCAGATGGGTTTCGGAAGAAGGTCAACGAAGATGGGTGAAGGGTGAAGGTCTGAATAAATTTAGGTTTCTGCAGGTTGGGTGTGAATAGAAAGTGGTGGCTGGGTAATGTGATTAATAACTCTCAGTGCTTAGTTGGTGTTTTTAGCCATGCTAGCGACTCTGGTGTCGGCCTGTTGGGTCAGTTTGGTCTTGACGGAAACAGGTTTTGTGGTTTGGCATTAATTCATTCTCAAAACTTTGGACTTTCATTCATCCAAAACTGAACTACCTTTTTAAATTAACGTGCTATTATTTTAGCTTCAGCTGTACCTTGTGCCAGTTAACAAATTTGTGCATGCTAACACACAAACATGGTAAACTTTGATCCTGGTAAGCATTAGCATGTTAGCACCATCACAGTGTTTAGCCACAGAGCTGCTAGCATGGCTGTGAACTCGAACAAATCTGTTGCATCCCAGAAACAGAGTCTTTGAAGTTAAACTAAAACAGCTGCAGATTGTTTTCATCCGATAAGGAGGACATGATACAATATTTCCTGTAGTTATCAAACGGTTTTGTTGGTGGATCAGTGAGTCTAGACTGTACGTAGGATGTAGCCGTGAACACTAGTGAGTGATGATGAAGAGGCCTGACGTAGGAGGACAGACTGAAGGACAAAGACAGGTAGATATTAGACGTGTGATGCTGCCATAGCCGGTATTACGATGTTGTACTTGTGGCTCGTTTGTTTGTCTCTATTCTGGATTCTAAAAATTGTTGCTTTCCCCAAGAAGACCATCACGATGTGGAATTTCTTTGCTGAGGGGAAAGTAAACCCTCATAAGCTGAACACAGCCCCATTTATTACACAGATGCTTCACATGTTTTTGTTTACTGTGTGATTTTTAGAAATGCATAAAGCGTTGTGAGACCATACTCTTGTGTTTGTCTCTGTTTTTTGCAGGGTTTTACGCTGGGTTTCTTTCTTACCTGACTCGTAGTTTTCACTGCAGCCGTCACCAGCAGGAACCTTCTCGTACTTGCCGTGACCCGTCACCACGAATTTGTATTTTTTACCAGAGGAGCTCTCCTGAAATTCAGTCGATGAAACCGTATTTATTAGAGACAAGTTCAAAAACATTCATGTTTATTCCTTCGTGCCAACAACCCAAAACCTTTATTATCCACTGAGATCTCAGTTTCCACCATATTTTCCAGATGACACGGACAGACATTTAGTGTGTTTCTCATCTTTGAAGTGAATATTTGTCTTTGTTGTTATAGTAAATAATAGAGCAGCAGCCTAAAGCAATGACTGCACAAACTCTGTGTTTAATTTCAGTTAAATTTTAAAAATTGACAACAGAGCAGTCTTCTGTCTGGGCAGCTCATTTATTAGCTATATTTTGTCTCTTTTTTGGCTCTCATGGTGTCCCCGAATGAACCACATGAAGTCATGAACGTAACTCTTCCAAAACATTAAAGGTTTTTGCCAGAGTTATTGAATTACAGTGATAAGGAATGTAGACATCATCAGATTTGTGAGCAGTTAAGCTAAAGTGTGTTTTTTTCCTTCTTGGACTGTTTAAATTTAAAAGAAAAAAAAGAACTAATAGTGTTGTTAGTAGTTCAGTGTGCGTACCTTTCCTTCTCTCCCAGGAGATAAAGTGTCACCAAGGCTCTCCCACAGATTCTTCTTGTTTAAAACACCACCAGGTTTTATTTCCTAAAAACAGAACAAAAAAACAAAACCGTGTTTAATGTTGGCTGCTGCCACAAGAGGGCAAACTTCTACTGACTGACAGATGGAAAGCGGCTGGAGTTTGAAGTGTATCAGGGAACAACGTGGACTGAAAAGAGATAAATCAGTTACCTGAGATAAAGATAACACTTGGAAAGCTGTCAGACATGTAGAGAGCTGAGGAGAAAGTAAAAACTCACAGAAATAAACTGATTGTGTTTTGACAGATTAGCAGGAAATACTGGACTGAGTGCTACTGATTAAATCTATAACAAAATTCTGCTGTTATTTATTGTTATTCTACAGGAAAAATGGTGTTTTAGTTGTTCTTGGCAAGACAGGCTGCATGCTTATAATGTCAGTGCTCTGAGTGGGAAACAACAGCACGAAGCCCTTTGGCAGCGAAAGCAGATGGTACAGATTAATGCGGAGTGTCGTCATTTGCTCGTAGCTGGCAGAAGTTATTGTTGCTTTTGAAGGGAAGAGAAGCAAACACCATGAAAAAGTGGATCCTCTTGAATCCTAACACTTGGAAAATGACTTTTAACACCTCGGTGTCCACCAGCTGTGTTATAAAGAAACAGCTGGTAGAAGATGGGGAAAGATGGCCGACTGCCTGGTCAAGAACAGGCCTTTAAAACCAGCAGGAGTCGTGTGGACAACTTTTAAATTTGTGCTCATCAGATCAACAGCTTCTCCAAACAGACAGCATGTAGAAATGTGGAATTAAGCAGCACTGGTTGTGTCTGTTAAAGGCCCAGTACGTAGGATTTAGTGGCCAACTGAATACTAAGAAAAGCTTTGTCTACTCTTCAGACAATCACTTAGTTGAAAACAAAGAACTAGCTTGTTTATAGATGAACTAAATGAGCCACAGTGCACTATGAGTCATTATGACGTAGTTCTTCTTTATTAACTTTGCATTTAACAGCTACTGTGAGTAATAAACGGACAAACAAGTCAACCTGGAGCCTGGAGACCTTCTGCTCATTCCATCTTTCCCTTCCAAGTGTGTAGGAGAAACCACAGCGTCTCTAGAGCCCACGTTTACTTTGTGGAGAGACAAAATCCGACTTACTGCTGGTTTGGAGGGCGAGCTGCACCTGCTTCCATCCTCGCCTCCTTTCACCCACTGATGGATGAGGTCGGCCACACCCACTTTCAAACCATCTGCATCCTGAGACAGACGTGAAAAAACACACCAGCAAAGATCAACTTAATGGAGCCTAAAGACAACTTGTTTTTTTAAATGTTATACTAAACTTTGTATTGATCTGCAAAACACACTTAATGTAATGATCTTAGAAAACCTTAATGCACCTTGAATCTGCTCAAAATACTTTATTGATCCTTTTGCACCCCAAAACCTGCTGGTGGGTTACAAAGGCATGATATTTTTTTGTAAAATTGCCAAAATGACACCATTTATCAAAACCAGAAACTAAAAACAGAAAGAATCCCTCAGACGGTCCTTGAACTACTCATCTCTGACATGCTGTTCTGACGGAAAACGTAGCTAAATCTAAGCTTAAAATTGTGATATTTAGTCATTATCGCTTTATTCTACAGGTCTCATTTTAAAATCTGCCAAAAACAAACCATTGGCACCAGATGATGTAAAAGAAACAACATCTGTGAAGCCATAAGTGGCTCAGCGGGGACTTTTTAGCTGAACTGGAGGATGTGTTTAGGCAAATTCAGCTTTCATTTTTATGATTTATGGCATTATAACTGTATCATACTGCAAAAAAACACATTTCTGAGTTCTCTCTACTTGTAGTCATGCTTGTTCCGTTTCCATAGAGGTGCAGGACTTTGTATTGCGGCGAAAAATGAGCCCACAGTGTGTAAAAATGTTACACGAACATAAAAAACACCCAGAAGCTGCTTGAGAGAGGTTTAGAGGTCAGAAAAAAATGATTAAAGTGGGTACAAGAGGTTTAATAGACGGTTAGAAACTTTTTTAGAAACCCATCAGTGAAATTAAATCTGAATTTCAGTGTAGCTGAGCTGTTCTGGAGTCTTTGCATGAAACTTTGGGAGTTTTCCAGAGTTCAGGAAGCAGCTGGGTTTAGTTTTGTCCCACTGGTTTTGAATAATATTAATCAAAGCTTCACCTGGGAGTTTTCCTCCCAGCGATCAACAACTGGATCTGAACAGGAGTGGGTGCTGATAGAAACCACTCCTTCTCACCTTGGACGGTGTGGCTGAGACGGGGTTCTGGTTCCAGGCTTCCCCAGCTTCAAACAGGTTCTTCTTGGATGCGAACGGTTCTGTGGGACTCGTCAGGTCCGTCAGCACCTGGCAGCCTGATCGGCCTTCCTTCGAGGAGACCTGAGGAGGACAAAGCGAGGTTTAAAGCTTTCTTTTCTTAGTGAATCTAGTCAGAAATAAGGTGCTTCTAAACCTGTGTGTGAACCAAAAGACTAAAATAAGCTCATCTGATGGTCCAGATTAAAGTGTGTGTGGACAGTCACTGCAGATTTACAAAGTCTATCATAAGATTTCTATAATTTGAGTCATGAGTCTGAGATGCTTCTGACAACTATTTATACTGTATATGATCTGTTATCCACATTTTACTTGTCTATATACATGAAATAACCTCTTTTATTGCGCATTTTTATTTTCTTTTGTTCCCGTTTGGGCTCAGTGTTGTTGATGTTTATGTTCTCATGTTCCTAAATGTTCCTTAGAGTGGCTGTATGATTCATTTTCTACTCCTTAAATCCTTTAACATGGAAAGAACTTTGTGCCTGAGCTTAGTAAATGCTATAGAAAGTAGATTTTCTATTATTACAATTTAAAATGTTATTATTGTACTTTGGGGGTTTGAACAATTTTTGGACACACAGCAGAAATGTGAAATGACGGCAGCTTGTTCAGAGTTTCTGCAGCAGGAGGCTCTGACATGACTACAGTCCATAGAAATAGCTGCCAGACAGAGATAAATCTCAGCTCATGCTTTTAGACACGATGTAGTCACAACATGCACATTTTTAGATGTCCGACTGGGTGTCAAGTCTCTCTGACGAGTCAAGTGTCACTAATCAGTCAGTCCACAAATATCTGCTGGCAGCTCAAGTAGGTAAAAAAAACGAAAAAACGTGCGGTTTTACCTCGAGAGCGTGAGTGTACTGTTCCAGCCTCTTGTCAATCTTGGAGACAGGAACAGGTGGCAGCGTCTTCTTTATGCTGTTGGTGCTGTAGAACAAAGAAAAGCTTATCTGTTGTTCATGATAACAGTGAGAGATGGAAGAAGTATTCTTTGCATAAGTAAAAGTACAATTATAACCATGTAAAAATACTTCACTATAAGCAAAAGTCTCACTATAACCTCATTAGATTATCAGCAGCTTGTTACTGTTGGAGCTGCTGCAGTTTGAACGACTTTATATCCAGTTTTATGTTCACACACAGCTGATAAATCTGAGGCTCCAAACCGGATTAACGGGAGAGAAAAGATAAAAAGAAACCTAAATCTGTTTTCAGTTTTACTCTAATCTTTTGATTTTTGCTGAGATATTGGATCATTTTATTGAAATAAAACCATCTGAGAATTTTAGAGGGAATAATCACGGTTTGGTGGAGCGTCTATCAACTCAACTACACACCGATGTTTTTGGAGGAAGACATAAAGGCTGGAAACCACTGATGTAATCTTTAACTATGTGTTGTGTCTTGTTTTAATATCTACTGTGTAAAAGTAAGTAAAGCTGCCAGATGAATACAGCAGAAAGTAGAAAGTAAAATAGATCCTTCCTTCCTTCTGATAGCATTAAATGAAAACAGTCATGTAAAGTACAAGCACCTCAAATTAGTACTTGAGTAAAAGTACTTTCTGTTACTGGTTAATGTAGATTTCTGTCTAATTTTAGAGCAGAAAATATAAATGTCTGAAAGCGGTTTGGAGTTGCTCACTAATATTTCGAAAGTGCAGAAATATCTAATAATAAATAGATAATAATTCATAGAAACATTTCAAAAGGTGGAGTGTTAATGGAGGTAGACGTCATGATAAAACACAGCAGGAAATGACACGTTAGAGTGACGTTTGCTCATTCATGTGTATTTTTTTCGAATTCTGACTCACCTTCTCCTCAGAGACTCTGTTCTCTCTGTGATCTGAGGAAACAAAAGCCGACAATTGATTGTTATTTGCTGCTCTTTTTGAAAAAACAATGTTTAAAAAAAGAAAAAGTTTTACTTGAGCACACGTGTGGATAATAAAATAAAAACTGAGGCACAGGAAACATAAAACACAACGGACGAGTCGTTTCTCAGACACAGAACAGTTATTTTCATACATATGTAATTTTTAACACAGCAAATCAAATAAGTAATATTTCAATAAACTTCACATAACATGATGAGTTATCACTCCTCCTCTTCAGCATCTATGAAGTCCACAAACTTTCCAAAAGCACTAAATGATCCTTTTCAAATAGTATTTGTTCATCAGATTCTCTGTTGTTCTTTTTCTGAAATCAATCTTTTGCCACAAAGAAAACAAACATGTATTATTTCTTCTTTATTAAAAAAATCATGAGGCCCAATTTTAATAGAAAAAAAAAGAAGGCAGAATTCATTGATCTTCGCTGCTGGGAGACTTCAGTTGTGGAAACTACGTGGAAAAAGTGACCTGCCATCTTTGACCTTCGTCATTCTGCACAGAAACACTCACCGTACATTTTCCATCTGCTGACACTCTGCTGTTCACTTCGTCCTGTAAAGAGACAAAGTCAGTTTATGTACAAATTACTGCAGAGCTCAGCTACACTCCAGCAGAAACATATCACAGATTTACTGTTTTGGTTACTACATTTAACTTCTGACACACAGCTGAGTTTCGTAGCAAATGTTATGAATGACTTCATGTTTGGGAGCTTAAAAGTTAAATTTGAAAAGGCAAAAACTCCTATTTGCTGTTCAGTCTCATGACTCCCTGAACCCCTGAATGAGCAGCTCTTAATATAAAACTGACTCGACCCGAAGCGTACAGACTGATTCATAGTTTCTGATTGGCTGTGTGCTGACCGATGTGGACTTCATCGTGCTACATGCTTTGGTTTGCTGCACAGACTGTTGCATTGACCCTGATTGAAGGCAGAACAACACACGAGGCTCCTGTAGATGTTTCTGTGACCTTTCACCTCTCAGCAGCTGGTTACAGGTTGGACCGCAGCAACGCAGCAATGCAGCAATGCAGCAATGCAGCAACGCAGCAACGCAGCAACGAGCCAAACACTGCACACGGCTCCGTCGACAGAAAACACAAACAAACCAAAGCAGCTCCCGAGTCCTGCTTCAACTCCAGCTCCTTTTAATGATGAATCAAAAAGGTGTGGGTGACGGAGAATCTAACTGCTCAAACTTTCCTCGTTGTGAGTGTTTGTTTTATTTTCCTGGCACATAAACACTCGGCGTGCTTGTAGAAAGGTTTGCGTGAATTCTCACAAACACCGTGAACCAGCTTCAACAAATAAAGTTAAAAAGCAGCGATCAGGACATAATTACATCCAAACCAAAGTCCTGTTTCAGCAGAAAGTCTTCCTAATAACGTCACGCGTGTTTAAAAACAACCCGAGCTGACCAGAACGCTGCACATGTTTACAGTAAAGAATTACGTTAAAAAAAACCAAAAAAAAACCCAGTAAAAACAATTGGTAAAGCTAAATAAAGTTGTATAAAATACTTAAACAGGCAAAGATGAGAGCAAGTTCTAATATCAACTTCTAGAATAAAAATAAATATGAGGACGACTGGGAGAAGCCAAAGGACACTGAAAACATTTACGTCTTTAGGTTTTTCTTGAAAACATTGATAAAAGATGAACATTTGACTGAAGGTTGTTCTAGAACTTTGGATCTCATTTACACACTGACTTTGTGGAACAGATAAATTAAGTCTCTGTGCTTTTAGGATGCTTTTTTTTCAAACTTAAACCTTTGCAGCAAAATGAAGCAATCAGTGTTTGAGTGAAAAGACCAGATTTGACCACTGACAGCTTTATTTCTGAGGAATCTTTCAGCTCCGTGTGACGCTGAAGCAACTAAAGTCGGAGCTGAAAGATTAAAACATCAGTGAAACCACCACATGAAGCACATTACCACCGTTCAGGGTCTAAACTCTGAACTCAGTACAGTCTGACACATTAACTGTGTAAGAAGTGAGCTGACACATGCAGGATACTTACTGGGTAAAACTGTATGAGGAGTTTCTGGAAGAGCAGCAGGAAGCATTGAAGAGACAAAAGGTTTGAACATGGTTAAGAACTGTATCATCAGTAATTCATCACATTCACTTAGAAACAACATTACAGAGGAGACTGGCAGCCTCTGAAGCCAAACCTAGAATCTGCACACAAACTAGGAAGAAGTTTTTCAGAGCTCATTCAATCATTAGCTTTACCTTAATGTAAGTGTGCAGAAGTGAAGATACAGTAGAGCTGTAATTAACCACAGATCATCTTTGTGGACAGAAATCGTAACTTCTGTTCAACCGATCGATTGATCGCAGGGGAAGGAAACCTGCAGGTTATCTGTATATGAACTAAATAGATCTTATATCGGCAGCCTTATTAGCATAAATGTATTCTAAATCAACATGAAAAGCTCGTGTCTGCAGCATATTTAATCATTTGAACCTGTTTTTTTTTTTATTACTGAGCTGATAAACATCAGACCAGCATGCAAATATATTAACTTTATCAGCTGGTGACCAGTTGAGGAATATAACAGGCAAGTTAGCTGCTGTTTTTAGAAGATCTGTCATGTTGTTTTGACTTCCTGGTCATCTGTCTGAGGAATATGCAGCCATGACAACGACTTCTTTAACATGGTGTCAGCAAGTTTGGACCCGAAGCCGAGTTGGTGAGTACTAAGTTGTAAAAACGTTGGGGTGTTCACAGGTAGTCTGGACCTCTCACCTCCAGAAATAATGGATTCATCCTGGAAGCCTGAGAGATGCTTTTTTTTTTTCTCTTGAAAGTTACACCAGAGATTATTTGACGAATGAGGATTGGTCGGAAGAGAGCAAGTCAATGTGGAGCCTTAATATATAGATATCAGATCAGAACTTCATCTTTAACTCCATCAGGAATCATCTGATGTACAAACAGGAATCAAGATCATGTATAAACAGCATTGTAGCTGTTGTAGCTCCTACTGTAGGTTAGTACCTTTTGTGTAACCTACTCCACACTGGACCCTCCAGTGTTGAGGAAACCCAGTAAAAACCCTCAAACCTTCTCCAGACCACCTCTAACTTTTACGAGTTACCTTGAACGTCGGACTCATGGGGCCGTAACAGTTTAAAGTCTCGTCGCCTTCGCTGCTGCACAGAGAAGCTGCTGATCTTCTGTTCAGCTCCTCATTCCTCCGGTCGCTGCTCTCTCCTGATCTCTACGAAACCATACACAAAAAACCCCAACATGACGCCTGTGCTTTATTATCACATCATTGCCGGTGCTTCAGGTGATTAATTTAGCCTCGGTGGCTGGCGTACTGTATAATCCCTGAACGTCTGTTCTTTCTCCTTCAACCGCCTTTAAATTACGTGTCAAACTTGTTCGCGCTGCTCGCTCACGCTGTGTTATTTGGTGGCAAAGGACTAATGAGTAACTGGCAAACTGCCGGTGCTAAAAACTGGAATTTGTTACAGCGTCTTACATCATTGCTGCTTTCGTCAGGCTACATTTCATCTCCGCGTCGCGTGAGCCAAAGCAGCATTCCTCTGCTTTATTGCTTTCAGATTCGAAGCCAAATTCTATGTGCGCTGTGGGTTCTGTAATAAGCAGGCATGTGTTTGATGGAGTCTTTTATGGAGCACGGGGAGAAACGACGCATTTTTTTGGAGTTTTGTCAGCAGACTACTGCCTAGTAGTTGTCTGAATAGCAAAAGTCTAAACTTCCTGACGGTCCAGTTTGTGAAAGAGTTGCACAGAATTAAAAACAAACATCACAGATTCAGTCATGGAGGTAAAATGTGACGTTTGTCCTGATGGTGGCACCTGTGGGAGGATATTTGGTTAATATATTTACGCTCGGCTCTGTGGAAGAATGTTTTGTTTTGTATTGAAATGTATGAAGGTAACTTTTAAAATGCTGCTTGAGACAAACATCAAGTGGAGCCTGACTTCATCCTTTATTGTGCTGCATTTTTATTCTTATTATTTTACTAATTTTATTTAATTAAGTTTGTCCTTTCAACTCCAGCTGCTTTTAAATTGGCTTTAGAAATGAATCTGACTTTGAACACTTGAGAGACTGCAACACATCAAAGTTTGAACAGTTTGCCAGTAATTCCTCTTTCTTCATTCTCAGAGCTGTTAGTTTAGAGTGTGTTACGCTCACTTAGCGTCCAAAATTAATATGATTCATCCTCTGGGGAACATGAGTGTGCTCGGTGGAGTTTGTGGCGGTTTCACAATATTACTCTTTCACATCTGGTGCATAAATAAAACCTGTGATGTGACTGTAGTGCAAAGTGAAATATAATCTAGCCAATGAAAACATCAGGATTTATTTACTGAGATACCTCCTCGTGCACTTGATGTGATAAAAACACCATAAATCCCTGAATGCATCACAAACATCCACAGAGAGTTTCGTCACAATCTGGACAGTCCAACAGATTCATATATGACAGATAGCAACAGCAGCAGTAGAGCTAACAGCGGCTAAGCTAACCTCGTTCTGCATCCTCCGTTCTTCCTCCTCGTGTCTCTGCTCTCTCCTCAGGCTCAAGCCTTCCTTCTCTTCATGTGTTAGGTGCAGCTCTTCCTCCTCCTCCTCCTCCTCCTCCTCGTATCTCTGCTGCCTCGTCAGGTCGAAGTTTTCCTTCTCGTCATGCGTGAAGCTCAGCTCCTCTTCCTCCTGATCGTCTTCATCTCCGAGGGTCTGTCGGGTTTCTGCTGACCTCCACGCTCTCTGCGAAGCCGGCTGCACCTCGTCCTCCTCCTTCTGCACCTCGTCCTCCTCCTCCTTCTGCACCTCCTGCTCCACCTCGTCGTCAACCCTGCAGGCTCCTCCACTGTGGAGGAGAAAATTAACTGGTCAATGAACTATAAATACAGATCACATCCAGACACATTAAAGGAAGATAAAATGGAGATTAGGCAGAACTGTAGGAAAAAACACGTATTTATTGTTCTTACTGCAGCTCCAGTGTTGAAAAATAACTAAATATATGAACTCAAGTACAGTCTGTGTCAGAAAGCCAGCAAATGTACTTTAAGTGCACCAATTCTGTCAAGAGGAGGGTCAAAGATACAAGAAGACTTTGTCATAACTCCAGAAAACCTCTAATAAATCTATGAAAGACCTAAAACGCACGATTGTTTTAAGTTTCTTGTGACAAAGACACACGTGTTTCAGGGATTCCATCACAGGAAATCCAGAGTCCCTGGAAACTCCAGACTGCCAGGATATACATGGTTTTTACAAGAGGATGTAGACTTTTAGTCACGGCTGTACAAGTTTGAAATACTTTAACTTGCTTCCACTGAATGTCACAGAGACATTTTGTATTTTTTACCTCACAACATTTATCTGACACTTTTAGCAGCTAGTTTAGTTTCAGATTCTGACTTTAACATGAATGTTATGTAAGATTTTGATGTTTGGAAGCAGGATAAGATCAGATTAGATCAATGTTTCTCCTCATGGCATCATGTTTGTTTCAGTGCCACATAAGTCTGTTATTTCATTAACTGTCAGCAGTCTGACTGAATGAAGAGCCATTTCTCCTGAAAACAACTCATATAGTTTATTTTAAACTGAAATTATCCAAAATTTTACAACAAAATGAAAGATTACAGGAAAGATTTTTAAAAATTAAAGGACATACATTTTCTCCTTTGCTCTCACATCAGTCACTGTGTGGACCCACTGATTTATCCTGTGATCTTTTGGAAGAGTTTGACCTCTACAGTAAAAACCTCTGCACTACATTGTCCAGCTGTATATGAATGATTTAAAAGCAGCTTCACAGGGAGGAGCTCCAACTGGTAAATATTCAGTCACATTTTTACATTTCACTTTGAGACTTAATGGATTTTCTTTGTAAATTATGTGTTTTGCTTGTCATGTACATATTTTATTTTACACTGTGGTACTTTTTACTTAGTGAAACATTCTGAGTGTTTCTCTTGTGTTCTACACTCTGCACCTGAAACTAAAACTAAATGTTTTCTCCTGTAAACTTTTGACTGACGTGGACAAACTGTAGACTCATTCATACTAATAATTTAGAACTGCAAAAACCCACTGAACTATCAGATTAAAAGATCTGTCTTACTCTGAAACCAGAGTCACTTCTGACCAGTTTTGGCCCTTTGATATTATAATAGCGTCAACAAACCAAAACAATTCGGTCTCTCGTCAAGTCAAGTCACCGTTTTTTTATACAGTACGGTTAAAACAACAGCTGCTGCACCGAAGGAAAAAATATTATGCTTTAAAATTAATCCAACAAGTGTAAATATCAGAGTTGAGACACTATAGGGATATTTATGGTGTGATTTTATCTGAGGCATTTATATATTCAGGATTAAAAACTTACAAAAACTGTATTTTATTTCTATTTTTTTTTACTATGATCCATATTAAGACAGAGGCCCTGCAGAGTTATTAATTATATAGAAGAATTTAACTAATTTAATAATGTAGCTAAGACCCTACAGTGTTATAAAATACAGAATTTAACCTAAGTTATATAAATATTAAGGCTAAGGCCCTACAGTATTTCTAATTATGGAGATGAACTGACTAATTTAGAGTTTTGATGTTACAAAAACACACATGAAAACCCAACAATCTATTGATTCCCTGCACCGTCTACGAGCCAGCTTTATTTCTTAGCGCTTTATGTGTTTACTTTTATACATATTTTTGATGGCATGTCGCCTGATTCTTTAACTGGAAGCAGAGGAACCCACTAAGCCTTGTAAAAATTATTTAATGCAACACATCCACCTAGAAAATCATAACTATCCTCCTCATCTTTAAGAGGGAACACGGGGATCTGGAAACCTTTTATGGACTATTTTAATAAGCGAAGCTGTTTCTAACTACAAAGACATCCGATGACATCAGTTTTTAACCATCTGCCTTAACGTATGTTTAAGTACAATTATATAAGGGACTAATAAATCCACGTAGCTGCATTTATGCATTTTATACTGCACTAAACAATGCATCAAAAAGGTAGTAAAGTTAATTAACTTTTGTGTCGTACTTTGCCAGCATCTACAGTTTGTTTTCATCATAAAAGACGTTTATGAACCTAAATTATGTCTGTCTATATCACACAAAGGCAGCTCTTGATAACTTACACAGGATTTTCCAAGGCCTGAGGGCACCATGTGTCTATTAAAGGCCTTTTAAAGCTTTATCAAAACAGAACCCTTTACTGTCGTGGCTTTCACAGACTACAGCTTCGATACTCAACATCCTACACATCCAGGATATAAACAGATAATGTAGGTTATTCATGGAAGTGTTGCCTTGAACTGTGACTGTGAGTCTAAAAAAGAATTTGGAAAGTAAAATTTGATTAAATATTTCCAAAACAGCTGCTGCAGTTTCGCTGATATAAAAAAAAAAACAAGTAATATATTATTTAAAAGCTGTGATATGATACAGATATAGATAAACGAGTGGAGAACACACCGTGGCCTCATCGTCCCTGCAGCCAGGTAAGACGTCCGGTCAGCTGGTCGGCCGGCGACGTGCTGCAGCCTGGTGTCCTGTGGCAGGAAGACCGACGAGCTGTAAGACGTCCTGGCTTCCTTTTTGCTGCTGGACATCTAGAATGAACCAAAAGCAAAGACGGAAACACGTAACTCTACAGTGATGATGATCTGTGTCTGTAAAAACAGACAGAAGTTATGATTTCCTCTGCAGATTGACTTCATCAGCGTGTTTTAAGCTTGGACACTCTTCATAAGTGTCTTTCTGAGGAGTTTAAAGAGCATACATTTAAAGTTCATTCTGGAGTCCACCATAATATGTTTACACGCTTTAAATGTTTAAAAAGCACATTATACAAATAGAGAGATGTGGTACAAGCAGCTCTAGTGATGAAAAATGCTTATTCTTCGTTTGAGGACCAAATCTTGCTGCCAGTCAGGCAAATCTGCACATGACATGGTGACGTAGAAAAGTAGCAGAAGAAAAGTCTGGACTTCAAACAAGACGAGTTTCCTGCGGGGAAAGAATGATTCCCTTTGGGGTGGACTTTGCAAGTTTGGAGACCTTCAACATCCATGAACATGAAGTAACTTAAAAAGCATAATATTTAGGGCCCTCGTTAGCTGCACGTCGCAGTAACGACGCTGGGAATTAAAATATTTCTGCCTCTGAACAATATTTACTCAGGTGAAGTATTTATTCTTACAATCACAACTCCACTACATTCATTAGTATGGTTTGTTTTGGGCTGTTTTTTTTGGTTTTCACAATGTGCACAGCTTGATTAAAAGTTTTTAGAATAAGAAGGTCTGAGCAAAATTTTATGACAATCTATTTGATGTCTGTTAAGAAATTTCACAAAAAAAACTTGTTGTGCTGTTAGAGTTAAAGTTGGAATCATAAAATAATTAGATTTTTTTCAGTTTGGATCAAAGTATTGAACCAGCAAAACCAGCAAAAAGCCTCGTCACTGGTGTGGCTAAAGATGTCTAAATAACGAGCAGAGATGGTAAACCTACAAAAACGTTAATAAATTGTTGATTTTTGATGCTGAGCAAAAGCATCAGACGTCAACAACAACACAAACTGGACTGAGAGTTTCCACTGCACTGCCTGAACTCCTTCGTATTATAACTACTGATGTGCTCGACCTTCTCTGCAGGTCTTCTTGGAGCTCCGTGTTTCCAGCTGCCTCGTTCTGGTTCCCCTCCGTCCTCCTGCTGTTTCTCCTTCCCGGGTTCTGCTGGCGCTGCAGCTCTCAGCTCTCTGGCCCGGCAGTCATCCTGCGTCTCCTGTTCGTTGCGGTTCTCCAGCCTGTTGCTCCAGTCGCTGAAGCCTTCGTCCTCCTCCAGAACCAGGCAGCAGCTGGGCTTCAGCTCCTCGTCCGACCTGAATACAGAGCAGAGAGCAGTTAGTGAGCTGAGAGACTGAAGCTGCTGCCTGGAAGCCTGTCAGGGGTGTGAATGACAGATTAAAAGCACTTTCTGATTTGAATGAGTGGGTAAAAGTTCAGTTTCCAGGTCTGGACGAACCTCAGAGATCTCAGTAGACACATAAAACCAGTGGTGGAGGAAGTACACAGACCCTTTATCAAAGTAAAGGCACCAACAAAGTAGTATAAAAAAAATACTCCATTACAAGTAAAAGTCCTGCACGACAAATCATACTTACATGACAGCACATAGCATGTAGTTAAAGTATTAAAATAAAAGTACTGGTTCGGTCTCTCTGACTCATGTCTTTACTCAAATACTGGATTTAGGTACAATTTTGAGGTTTCATACTTTGGTTATTTCCATTTTATACAACTTCACACGTCCACTTCACCACATTGTAGAGAGACACATCATCCTGCTCCACTTATGTGACAGCTTGTACACAACGGATAATATAACAAACTTTTACAATACAAAACGCTGTCAAACATTAAATCAATAGTTTACAACCTTTTTGGCTTCTTACAGACATCAGTTGGTTTCACGTTTCAGATGTTTCTGAGCTGTTAACAGCTCCACCAAATAAACTTGTCACATGGTTTCATTTCAATAAATGTTCATCTCACCAGAAATCACAGATTTGAGAAAAACTGAAAACAGATTTGTTTATCAGAGTTTTGCTTTTTCTTCTGCAGCAGCTGCAACAGAAACAAGCTGCCGACACACTGATGCTTCACCGTTTACGATCTAATGATGGCTGAGATAATAATGTATCAGTCAAAGGGATCAAACAGGACTTTTACTTTGATATTTTAACTACACTTTGCTGTTTAGTAGGATGTTTGATGCAGGACTTTTATTTGTAATGGAGTATTTTAGCATTACTGCATTGGTAGTTTAACTCAAGAAAAGGACATGAATACTTCTGTCTTAACTGCTAATTAAAGAAGTTCAAGTTTAAGTTACGTTTTTAAGACAGCAGGACAACTTCCACCACCAATCTGAACAAACAAACAAGATGGTTGACAGGGTACGAGCGTTTTTCTGCTGCTTGGTTTCTTATCCGAATGTGTCTGAGGTCACCCGAAGGTCTCTACAAGTGTTGAAAGACGGCTGGCAGGTGGTGGACGGAGCTGCAGCTTCAAGCTCCACGGCAACAGAGACAGGAACCATGGAAACGCCAAACAGAGAGACACTGCTGCCTCCTGGTTCAGGTGAACTCAGATCAACAGACTGAAAATCATCAGCAGTCACAAAACAGATCAGAGACGTTTTGCAGAAAACTTCCAGCAGTTGTAACTTGTGATTTGATTGTCATAATTAAAGCTATACACTTATAAATATAAATAGTTCCTTTCAGTGCCACCTCAGTACTTAAAGTTCTATTTTTATTTATTAGATTAAAAAAAACTTGCCTATTTTAAGCCAAGCAGAGACAGAATTTATTGAACTTTGTTAGTTTGCAACTGTCTCAGAAACTCCTCAACAAGCGAGCGCAAGGTTATGAGTTCAGGAAGAAAATGATCCGTTTTTGATCTGGATGTGTCAGAAAGTTTCTCTGATTAAAGTTGTGAAACCAGTGAGTGAACCAGTGAACAGAGAAGTGTTTGATGAGCATTTTAGTTCATGTTTCCCCTCGAGATGCCTCCTCTGACGTCAAGTCTCCGATCAAACATGCAGACGTTGATGCTGTTTCAGCTCCATCACCTGCAGCATCACTGCGCTGTGCAACGGGGCTGAACAAGGCTTTTCCTCTGTCATCAGCGCTGCAGCTGATGGAGGCTGAGCTGCAAACATGAAGACAGTTTACATCCAGTCTGGGCTGCAAACAAACAGCTCGCCGAGAGAAACAGGAAGCAGCAGTCAGGGAAATGTTTACAAAGTGCCAAACCAAATATTCTTATTAGGGTCTAACTGGCGTCAAACTAATTTATTAAGCTTCACTGTATGATTTAATGAACATTCAGAAGTCATTAGTCACAACTTAAAAACAGACGTGTGACTGTGACTGAACAGCAGCTCACTCAAATAATCTTTAAGTGGGAGAACTACCGCTGTCAGTGAGGGGAAGTTCTAGTTTTGAATGATGTAGTTTCTATTTTTCAGCTACAGTTTAATATTCTTAAAGCACAAATTGTTCCTTATGCATAAGAAAACATGGTGCATTTTGTTTTTATTGCAAACCTAAATGAACATTTACATACTGTCTCATTAAGAACAACAACCGTGTGGATTCTTCTGCCAGAAGAACAAATACTTAACAGTCCATTTAATGCTTCATCGTCTGTCTAAAGATGATTGAAGTTCTTTTGAAAAGATAATGAAAAAGTCAAACTGCAAAGTACAAAGGAAACTATTTTTGATTCACATTTCTTATTTCCTTTGTCTGTAGTGTGCTGTAAGATATTAGCCTCCTGTAAGACACATTTTTAACCTTTGCAGTTGTAGTTTTTGGTGTTTTCATCACATGAGCTGAGTATTTGACAAACACCTGCATAATCTCATAATATAAAACACTTTTTCTTCCACATCATTTATTCCAGTCTTGTGAATGTTTCCGTTTAATTTCATCCACGCAAATAAAAAAAAGCACATAAAAGCAGGTAGACGCAAACATCTGTGCAGCAAACTAACGTTAGAAACCACTCTGTTTTTGACTTGCATCACTCTGACTGAGGTGGAAAATTCAGCAGCAACACAACAACAAGCTTCTTCAGCTACAGGGCAGAGGCGTGGACTGTAAAGCAGGTTAGACAAACTTAAGCTAAAACATTAATCAAAGATGATGGGTATCTGTTGATATAAAAAATAAAACATGTCACATGACTCTTTTTCTGCACAAAATGGACTGTTGTTGTTCAGCCTGCTTCAGTGAAGAGGAACAGGTTGCTATGATTTAGAGTTGTGCGGAATATTAAAAAATAAAC